CCTTAACTTACTTACCCGTACCCGTAACCTACTACGACTCCTCCGTCGTCGTAGTAGTACGTAACTAACTACTCTTTCCTTTTACTTTCTACTGTGCTCTCCTCTCTCTCTCTCTCTCTCTCTCTCCCCCCCCCCCCTCCCCCCCTCCTGAAACACAAAAAAGGCAACAGCGGCGGTGGCTAACTTGACTGTCTATTTTGCCTCGTTGTTTTAGGTGGAAGAGTTGCAAGGAATGGAAGATATTTTAAAAAGTAAGGATCCAAATGGTTGCCTATTAACAAATGTGAAAAAAGTGAATAAAAAATAGAAGGCTGATCTAAGTGGCTTCCACAGAGAGACGGTTGAGAGAGTGGCAGATGTAATAGAGAGAGAAATGTACTGGCACAACCCTGTTCAGGAAGTTGATGTGGAACAGGAAATGTGGTTGGAATTGCAATAAAGGGGAAGCCACTGGTTTAGAGCACGCAAAGAAACTGGGGAGAATTAAAAGAAGGGGATTAGGGTTTTATGATGGTAACCTGTTTTTCAAAAAACACTAAATAAGCTATGGGCCTTTTGAATTGATAAGCAAAAGTGTCATTTTTTGTGGGGTGCCCTTGGGATTTGACACGGCTTATACTGAGTACTTAGCCACTAAGTAAGGTTTTGACACTAACATGTTAGATAAAGTGGGTTTTTTGGTGTAAAAATATGAATAAATGAAATAAAAGAAGATTGGGTGATGCAATACCACTCCTTTGACTCATGTTGTTGCTTTAGCAAAATTGGCAGGTAATTTTCTAATTTACAAATTACTCTTTTGCATTGAGATACCCTATATTCATTTTATTTAACTCATGGATGGCATGCAGGATATCTTCACCTTATTGTTGTTATCACTAATTTTTGGGATTATTTTGTCTTCTTCAAACTTCTGGAAGCATATTGACAACCTCAAAATATACCAACCATACACATATTCATGTCCCAAGTTGTCTTTATCCTTTTGTCAATTTTGACATGCTGATATTAAATTTATGTCCATATCTTGCTGTTATAGGTGGCAATTGTGGTTTGGTATACTATTTTCCTGCATTTTAAATTTTAGTATGTTATTATATATTCCATGTTATGGCAATATATGCATAAAATATGAGTTATTTCCACATTTGAACACTTGAGGTACTGACATTTTCTTTTTTGAAACAGCTTTGCTGATACAAAAGAAGGTCGTTACAATCCTAAAATGGATCCCCTCATTCCTGTAGTTAGTTGGAGGAAAGGCTCTCAGGTGACAGAAATTCACTAGTTGCTGAGTTTCACTGGATTCTGATATCTTATCTGTTTGTGCTCTTCAATGTTTTCATAAATGTTCCCATCCACAGTGTTGGTCTTGATATATCTAATCATATATGTTTTGAACCTTATTACAGTGGGCCGTATTAACTAGAAAGCATGCAAAAGTTGTAGCAGAAGACGATACAGTCATCTCAGTGTTCCATCAACATTGCAAGGCAAGTGATTTGGTCCCCATTTAATTGAATGGTTTATATTCTAGTGTAAATTGTGTGTATGTTAGCTTACCATTATGATATTCGGAATTACAGTTAATACTCTTTATGCAGTCTTAAATTCTCAGACTGTGGCATGCATTCTTTGATTATTATACCTCTATTTTTTAATCATTTATCTGTATCATGTATGTCACAAGGAAGTTGCTATAGTTTGATGTGTATATGCCTCATGCACGTTGTACTCTTGCTCATTTTTTATTCTCCTTTATTTATGAGCATGATAGTGTTAAACTGTTTAGCCTTGTTTAGGACCATACCCATGCATGTTGGGGTCTGCAACCTCATTTGTGAGAATCACAATATTTGTACATATCAGTTATTTTTCTCTCTCTCTGTATATTTTATTTTATTCTATACGTATCATATTTTCTATCTCTACTTCCAAAAAAATTAACATTTTTCGTCTCCCCATGTCTTTTATGAACCCCTACATTGCATATAGCATGCAGCAGAGACATAAAAAATGCTGCTAAGGTTGTTCTAAAGGTCTTGTACAGTGTGTTAAAAGACAAATCCTTAGTTTCCTGCTTCTTTTATCCTTGTCCATCATGGACACAGTTCCTGCAAATCTTTTGGAATGCTCCTAATGTTTTCTGCAGTTCTGCTCCTATGCCTCTCAAAATAGAGTTCTACAATCTCATGAGAGAGAATGGGTTCTTACTAGGATTTTTTATTAAATCTGATCTCCATGAGTTCCACAAGCATGTTTGGTAGTAGTAAATTAATGGACTAATTTGCTAATGTGGTTCTGTTTGTCCTTAGCCTGTCAGTGACATATCTGTCATGCAACTCTTGACTTATGTGTGTTTGTTGTCATTTTCTTATTGTACTTGTTATTATTATTATTATCAGAAAGAGGGTACTTCAGTTCCAAACTCACTGCTCAAAACTATGCTGACTAAAGATGTTATATTCCTGTTAATTTCACAATCTAATTATATTTTAGAAGAACTTTGATTATAGGTGGGAACTCAAAACTTTGAGTATAATGGGAGACTTCAAGTGTAAATGGGAGCTCCTTGAGAAACACATTTGAAAACTTCTAAAAATTTTGTATCCCAAATGTGTGGGAAGGGAAAATGTTCAATTACATGTCACTTGTGTTATTCCTTGTTTCTCTACAGTGTTCTATATTCTTATTGCTCGCCATGTATATCTTTTGTTTCTTCCAATCTCAACTGTTTCTATTTTCTTGAGTGTTCATAAAACAAAATTCCATAAGTTTTTTCATCCCAATTTCCTGAGGACGTGTTTGCTTGTGGAAGAGGGGGCTGCCAAATCCCCCTCTTCCATGAAGTATGGAAGCCGGCATGGAAGGGCCGCCTTCCCAAAAACAATGTCAAGATGGAAGTTGTGGATTCCATTTTGCATCTTTCACGAACGTGCAACAAAAGTAGGAGTCCGTTCAGTGGAACTTTGGTCTCCCACTATCCAAAAGTTCAACAGAAACAAGCACACCCTAAAAGTTTCTTCTTTCCCTATTCATGTTTGACCATGCTGTGTTTTTTTAACTTTTCCTAGCTCCTTTCTTTTGGTCTTTATTATGAAAAATCCAAGCTTAGGTTTCACTTTCGACAATAAGTTAGGGGATATGAGTCTCTGTGTGTATGTTTGGGATGATGAGCAATTTGTAGAAAGGGCCTACTGTGCGTAGTTGGCAATCTCCTATATCATTATAGGGATCTCTGATTTATCCATATATTAATTCATTTTTACATGAATTTTTTATTCTCACATGGTCATAGACAAATATTGGAGGTCCACATTGAGCAAAGGATTGCAAACATGGCTACCCCTTTGTACCTCTTTTACAATAACAAGTAAAACATAAATATAAAAATTTAATAGTTATATACAATTTGTTATCTAAAAGCATAGTTACCGGGAGCGCCACTTTAGTCCCGCTCGGGAACCCAACTACGGTGCTCCCTGGTCGGGATCTCGACTGGAATTCGTTCCAATTTTTTTTGGGAGCTCGCTCCTATTTATTGGATTCTCGCTCCTAGTCTCACTCCTTTACTTTTTATTTTAAGATGTGTATTAAATACGCATGTAATAATCACAATTTTAATTATTAAAATATTGGATGCCGTCACTCATGTGTGTGTTTTAGAATATGTGTTTAACACAAAAAGCTTGTGCTACTGATGGAGTAAATTGTTGTTTAGTGCAATCAAGGAGAAACATGAGTTACTCTTCTATAATGAAATATGAAAATAGATTTATTGTTCATTAGAGATTAAGATGAAAAGAATAAAATTATTGAAAACATTTGGTTTATTCAGCTTTTACATAATATGGTCGTAGGGGTTCACGGAAATATATGCTTTTTAAAGATTGATAGATCAATTTTGCATTTAATGCATGTAATGATAAATTTTTATTATTAAAATATCATCTCCTTTATTTTTATTTTTAAGATGTGCATTAAATGCACATATAATGATCAAAATTTTAATTATTAAAACATTGAATGCCCTCACTCACGTATGTTTTAAAATACTTGTTAACACAACACAAAAAGTTTGTGCTACAGATGGAGTAAATTGTTGTTCAGTACCATAAAAGACAAACCTGAATTACTCTTTTATAAAGAAATATAAAATTAGATTTATTGTTCATTAGAGATTAAGACGAAAATAATAAAATTATAGAAAACATTTGGTTTATTTAAGTTCTACATAATATGGTCTTGCGGGTTCACATGGAACATGAATATTTAAAGTGTATTAATGATATCCTTTATGCGTATTATTTCCATTTTTACACAAGGTTTTTAATGCATATCTAGCATTTAATGCTATCATTTGAAAATATGTTTATTGGGGAGAGTAAAAAAGAAGATTCGAACCCTTTTGAGAAAGTACCTTGAATGGAGCTCGATCCTTTGCAAATAGAAATGCAGTCTTTTGTGGATGGAATCGCGACTCAACCTTAAATGGGATCTCGTTCCTATTGTTGATGGGAACGCGATCCTAATAAACATAGGAAGATGATCCCATTTTGCATGGAACACTTTCCTGTTAAATATGGATCTCGATCCCAATGTATCGGGAACTTGCTCCCCATGCAAACAAGATCTCAATCTGTAACTTATACCCTCTTTGGAACTCGCTCTCCAAGCTCCAGAGCTTTGGGCAGCCATCAATCCGACACTCCAGCTCCCGGAACTGGAGCCGTTCCCTCTCTTGCTTCCGGTAACTATGGCGATAAGTATAAAAAA